CATTTACTTGTTTAGAGCCAGCGCAACGCCCAAGAACAATCGATCGGATGTCTAGCGTCGGGCCCGGCCCAAAACCAACCGCAAGCACGGCGCAACCTCGAGAAAGCGCAGAGCGACGAGGCAGAGGGCCAGAGGAGCGAGCACGCACGCGGATCCTATGGCCCCGCGCTCGAGCGCCCCCTCCTCTGAGGGGATGGCACGGCGAGAGCGGCCGCCTAAGCGCCCTCGAGCGTAAAGGGGGGCCTCATCAAAGAAAACAACTGAGCGAGCCCCCCTCGGGGCCCGGCCCACGCACTTTGAAGTAGTTTCGAAGGTCTGCTGTAGAAGACTAGGATCTGCCGGGGCCTGCGCAAGGTCTCACTTCTCGTTCGGGCGCTTCTGCAATCCGTTGGGCCCGTCCCCGCCTCTCTTGAATATCGACTTCTCGGGCACTTTGGCCGTCCTGAACCGCGGAGCTTCGTCGTCCCCCAGAATCAGACTCACAGACTTCCAGCCCCCGTTGGCCTTGTTGAGCACACACAGCGCTGCCATCGCCGTGGGGTGCGACATAGCGGCGAATATCCACTTGGCTTCCCCCCCCTCCTCTCCGTCGAACGTCGTCGAGACTTTCGCGTCGAATCACCTCGCCGCTTTGATCCTCGCCTCGGGATCCTTGGGGCACTTCCCGAACTCCACCAGCATTATCAGCGCCGAGGCCGGCCCCTGAGGGTTGGTGCCCTGGGCAACCGCGGCCCTGACCTCCTCGAGCATGGCCTCCTCGGCCTCGCTCAATCTCAACAGCAGCATGCGGGGGTGGGCGTCGAGCTTCCTGCCGAGCAGGTGGTCGCGGTAGTCGGCGGCCGCGACCGCGCCCCTGGCCTCTTCCCCGACTTTCTGGCAGCGGGCCGTGCTCGACACCAGCGCCACCTGCACCTGGGAGCAGCCTCGGAGCCGAACAACCACGTTCTGGCCTCGCGCCGTTCCCTGGAAGCTGTCCTCGCGCAGCAGAAGTTGCGTGGTGATCGGGCGGTCCTCCTTCGAGAGGCCCGCTACCTCGGTGTCCTTGGCGCTCGGGTTGGTGCTCTCGACTCCTGCCGCGCCCGCGTCCCGCTTCTTGAGCAGCTCGGCCGCGGGGGCGAACATCACTTCTCAATGCGCTGGTCTCTGCCGCTGTCGGTGACGGTCGATCTGAAATTGATAGCGACAGCGGCGTCTGAGCCCGAACAAGCTGCGGATCGGAGAGATGTGGGCACCATTACAGCTGGATAGGCCTGATCTGGGTCCCCTTGCGAGTACATGCTTGGGAGCAGTATGGGCACGTGCGGGCACTGAGGTCCTCGGAGGGGATACCCACTCGGTTGGCAATGATCGGGCGGGCCGCAAACCTGCGGTTCTCCAACCCCTTCCGACCGTTGCATCCTTTCCCACATTCTGGGCACACAAGAAGTCGAGAAACATCAATGCCCCCTGCCTCCTGCGCCACGTCACGCTCAGCTTCGCGTGAGAGGGCAGCTCTGAGCTCGGCAACCGTGAGTATGTTAAGCCACTCCAGCCAGTCACGAGAAACGCATGGCAAATCGGACGGTGCTCGCCCCTTGTCTGCTGCTTGGATGCGAGTCCAAAGCGCCCGAAGATCAGAGAGGAGTTACCCAATTCGGCAGGAGTGGCTGCGGCGCCTGGAGCCCTCGAAAGAAAGCTTCCCGACAACAACTGATCGCATTGCTATCGCGGGGTCGTAGTCAGGGGGGTCGGGTAGGAGCCCTGGCGATATGACATGCCGCCACCACTGAAGTCTACAATACAATAGAGTAGAGCTGACACTGAAGATTTTGGCTCTCCTACGGACATCTGAGTTGGAGACGCGATGCATGTGGGCAGGGGGCGGTAAACTGTGCCGAAGTTTGCGAGTCTGCCATCGTTCCAACTTCTTCAGATCGGCTCGGGCCAGGAAGGCCACCTCCAGCGCGCGCAGCGCGATCGAACGAACAAGTGAGCACCACAGCCGCACCTTCAAACGAATACTGAGGTTGCCCTTAAGAACACGTTGGGCACGACAACCGCGCGCCTTGTTCGCAGAGGAGAGGCGAGTCTTGATCTCGGAAGAGTAAGAACCAGTGGCGGAAAGTAAGCAACCGAGGTACTTAACTGTCGGCGTCGGGTGCAGGGCGCGGGCCTGCATGTCTACTTGGGTCATGTTAATGTCAGTCTGTTGTTTTGCAATATGTTGTGAACGTTTTCCTGCAGCCCTTCCCCCGCGCCGCCCAGCGTCAACTCAGTTTTTGGAACGTTCATGGTCAGAAGGCTGGCGTTAACTTGATTCCTCAGGAAGTCTAGGAACGAGGTGGCGGCATCGAAGTTAACGGCGATAGTCAGCGCGATCAGGTCATCTACGAATTTGATCTGGGACGCGTCTAGATCGGATAACTCGGTAGTCGTGAAGTCCTCGGAATTCCTGAAAACCTGGAAGGAGGGGTCGCACTGAACCTGGACGCCCTTGAACCCCGCCGCTAACGTTTGGTCGCCGATATCGTTGGTAATCATGTCATAGATCGCGAAGAATGACCGTGGGCCCTCCACACTACCTTGCCAAACCCCTCTGCGAATAAGAAGTCGACGACATGGGCGATTCGCGCGGGCATCCCTAATAATAGAACAGGTTCCGTTATAAAGCTCTTGGATTGTCAAGCGAGTTTGGCGAGACAGAGCGAATTTCTCGAGGGTGGCCATGCCTGTTGCCGGTCTAGCAAATCAAACGCCTTCTCCAAGTCAATCAAAGCCGAGACGAGAATGACTGCAGGGCTCTGGGCGCGCCAAGGATTCGAGCGACAGCGTCTGCCGACGTCGACTGAAGCAATGGCATCGCGAGTAGAAAGGCCCTGCAGCGCGCCAAACTGCGTGCTGGACAACTTACCTCGCATCTGGCGCAACTCGGGCATCATGGTCACATTCGTGAAGGCCTTGCCCGCGTGGCCGATGATGTTGATGGTTCTGTAATGGTCCTTGGCATTCAACCAGGGACTGCTTCGCCGTCCTTGAACCTCTGGGGCGCTCTTCGATGCGCCTGCGCAGCCCGAAAAACTCCGAGTAGGGGATCTCCAATAATCTCAGTGCTGAGTTTCCAGATTCCGGCAACCGCTCCTTCGGGGCCCTGTCGAGGGGCCTGGGCGGTGACGGGGTCAGTCCACTTGAGGACAGGGGCAATCTTGAAGTTGGGGGGCCTTTCCAGAGCCTGGGTCACGTCATTGACGTCGCACTGGCCTACGAGGTCCTCATCGGGGGCATCAGTGATCTCCTGGGGCCCGCCGTCGTCGTCCATGGGCAGCTCTGAAGCCTCGAAAATGGAGCACAGCGCGTCCGTGCGGACCTGCTGGTCCTCTACGCCATCGAAACACAGGTCGCCAGTGGCAGGGTTGCGGACAGTCAGCATCGGCATCCTAGGCTTGGGCGCGAGCCTCTTGATGATGGAGTAGCAACGTCGAATGTCGTGGACTGCGCCCGCTCTCTCTGCATCAGCGACCAGAGTCGCGACGTGCTGCCTCTTCTCCGAGCGGACAGCCTCCTTCGCAACTTTCGCCGCACGGCGGAACTCAGAAAAAAAGACTTGCACAGCCATGAGTGTTGGTTCATCACTCTGGAAAGCACTCGTTGAAAGTATGGCTCACGACTAATCAGCTGGAGAGTATCATCAGTCAACTCCTGCTTCTTAGCGGCCGCAGGGTTCCCGACGTTGATGGAATACGCAGCGTCTACCACCGCCCCCTCTAGGGCATTGCAATATGCGGATGGGTGTGGGAATAGAAGTCCTGGGCCGCATGCCTGGCGCCAGTCGCCTCGAATTTGGCGATTCTGTAGCTCACAGCGCAGTCAGTCTCGAACACCTTGTACTCTCGCAGGTACTGTATGCCCATGAAAGGTAGCTCTCAAGTCGTGAAGGAGTTGATCTCGGTCCCATCTGGGCAATAAAGGCGACGGAACCTTGCGGCACTTGAACTTGGTTGAGATCCGAGCCTCAAGAGGGCGATGATCTCTGTAGCCGCCAAGGCTCACGGGGAGTGAAGGTAATACTTTGGCGCCATATCCAGATCCTCCCCGCAGCCGAATGCAGATGAAGTCAATATGGTTCCATGTGATACCGTCCGTGTGAAGCCATGTACCTGTTTGGGTTCCCTTGCTGCCGTGTGTGTTCAGCGCCGTCAAATGTTGGGACTGAAGAGTACTGAGAAGCTGGCCGCCATTGTGGTTGGTCACTCGGGGAATGCGATCTATACCAGCAAAGCCAACATGCGGAAGTTCTGGGGCCATCGTTCCATTAACATCCAAGCACCAGATCAATGTCGCGCGCTGTGGGACTCGTCGGAGTGCAGACTCACTGGCGTGCCAAAAGTTGTCTTGCGCCAGCTGGTGAGCCTGCAGCTGGTTGTCACGGTCGGCTCCCACAGGTTGGTACGGTGGGGAGTTGGTCGGCGCATAGCCGTTCAATATGTAGAGGTCGCGCTCCTGGCGTCCCTCTCGTCTGACACGAAATCCTAGGAGTCGTCCTGGAAGCCACTCATGGACACATCTGACCTCCAGCGGGTTGAAAGTAGAAAGATTCAGGGCGGTGAAACAGCCATCTTTGGCTCGAGTAGAAGTCCGTGGAGTAGGGTAGATCCTATACCCAGCGCGATTCCACGGGAAGGTGCCACTCATCAAAGTGCTCTGGAAGCATACGACGGCAATCTTCTGATCCTTGGCAAGTCTTAACAACTCGCCCACGCGATCGATGCGAATCAAAGACCCCGTGTTATAACTCCAGACTTTGATCAGGTGGCCGTTTCGCGAAACTTGTGTTCGTCTGGGCGGCATTGATGGTGGAGCTGGCTCAGGTTCTCGTTGATGAATCAGCCTTTCATGTTGAGCAGCATGGGCGGCCACAGGACGTGTAAGCAGCTGACCGTGGCACCAGCAGCTGCCTGTCACTATGGCGAGTCGTACTGCTCGTCTCCAGGCCCTTTTGCCACCCATTAGCCCTGGCTCCCGCCGTCGGTCTTGTAGATAAAGCCGAGATGGCGGTCCAGCTCGGTCGGGCGGCCGAGAGCGCTCACCTCGCAGGCGACAGCGGCAACCTCCTCCTCCGAGTCCTTCAAGCCCAGCGCCGCAGCGCCATGGCAGGAAGAGGAGTACACTAGGGTTCCGCCTGGTGGGGGATTGCGACCCCACGCTCGCCTATGCGAGAAGCGTCCTTGAGCCGCCGAGGCTTCGCCCGTCTTCTGCCAGCTTCCGCCGGCGCAGGCAGCTTAGTTCCACTTCCGCCGCTTTCCGCCAGACTCCCCCTGCCTCCCGCCGAGGAAGAGATGGCAACCCCTGCGATCCTCGAAGGCGAATCCCTCTCTGGACCGCCTCTCTCGATAACTATGCCTGCTTGCAGGAGCGCGCCCGCTGCGCCGCCTCGGCGATCCCCTCGCCGATGTCGGCGAGCTTGAACTGCTGGACGCCAGCGCCGCCGGCCGGCGCCTGGCCGCGGGGAGGGGGGCCCAGAGGCCGGGTTCGCCGAGGAGGGGGTGGAGGGCTGCGGATAGGGGGCGAGCTAAGCAGTGCCGTTCGTTTTCTGTTTGCGTTCGGTGTTCCTCGCTCTGTCTTCGTTCCGCCTGGGCTGCAAAGCGAAATCAAAGCAGGAGCGGCCCACGAGATCGCCAAAACACCGTTTAGCTCGCGCTCTGGACTGCGTAAACGGGGCGAGCGCATCGTGGCCCGAGGCATGTGCGCGGGCCAGTGAAGCGCATGGAAAGCATGAGGGGGGTATGAAACCATGGAGTGCTCATGGCCCTGGCCACGACAGCCACCCACACACCCCTGGTCATCACCCCCTTCCTGGGCGCCCCCGACACGGGCCCTGGGGACGGTCAACACGGGTCCCAGGATGAGTAACTGTTGGAGGCCTGATGGGCACCAACACCAGCACAGGGGCTTGCCTCCCCACTGGGGAGAGATAATCCCAGTTGTTGGTGTTGGCGGAAATATTTCGGACACCCAGGCAGCCCGAACATTACCACCATCACCGAGGTCGGGAGCACCTTCCCTCGGTGGAGGCACACCACCGATTGTGGTGCTGGTGTCAACCTCTAGGCCTCCGAAACTAAAGCTGGGTGGAAAGCCCTGGGGTCCAGGACCCGCTTTCCTCAAGACCCCTTGAATTCACGCCAACCTTCTTCCTGTCGCGGTCCTCGAGCCTCGATCCTCAACCTCTTCCTTCTGCTCGCTCCTCCTCCTGTTCGCTCCTCCACCTGCTCGCTCCTCCACCTCCTCTTCCTCCTCGCTCCTCCTCCTCCTCCTCCTCGTCCTCCTCCTCCTCCTCGCTCCTCCTCCTCCTCCTCCTCCTCCTCGTCCTCCTCCTCCTCCTCCTCGCTCCTCCTCCTCCTTCTCCTCCTCCTCCTCCTCCTCCCCTCTCCTCCTCCTCCTCCTCCTCCTCCTCCTCCCTGCTCCTCCTCTGCTGCTCGCTCCTCCTGCATGCTGCCTCCTCCTCCTCCTCCTCCTCCCTCCTCCTCCTCCTCCTCCTCCCTCCTCCTCCTCCTCCTCGCTCCTCCTCCTCCTCCTCCTCCTCTACCTCCTCCTCCTCCTCCTCCTCCTCCGCCTTCTCCTCCTCCTGCTCGCTCCTCCTGCTCGCTCCCCCTGCTGCTGCTCCTCCTCCTCCAGCCTCTCCTCTCCTCCTCGTCCTCCTCCTCCTCCCCTCCTCCTCCTCCTCCTCCTCCTCCTCCCCCCTCCTCCTCCTCCTCCTCCTCCTCCTCCTCCTCCTCCTCCTCCTCTTGCTCTGCCCCCACTCTCGCTCATCCGCGTCGAATGGAGGCGCGCCTCTGGCGTGCAGCCGGGAGGGAAGCCGCATCGGGGGAGCCCCGAGGCTCTCTGGGGGTGCCTCCCGATTGGGAGGCGGAGCCTCGCTCGGGGGGTCCGCGGGCCTCTTGGGATCTCGGGCGCCCGTGGCGCAGCAGGACGGCGCCGAGCGCCGGGGGCCGCCGCCGAACGAAAGAGCACGGGTGGTCTGCTGGGACCTGGCGGGTGACGGAAGGTGATCCTTGCCCTCTCCCTCCTCGTCCTCCTCGTGCGCCTCCCCGGGAGAGATGCCGAAGACGAGCTCCCTGCCATTGAGGACGGGGGACTTACACTGCTGCCCCCCGCTGCAAGCTCGCTGGCGACAAGCAATCCTGCGCGCACATCCACTGCAGAGACGACTTGCCCGCGCCGCTCGAGGTCGGATACAGGGTGGCGATGCCGCGCGCGTCAGAAGAAATACCCTTTATCCGCCCGCTGGGGGTCCCCGGACGAGAAGTACCCCAGCGAGGTCCCCCCAATGATGCCTGGACGCACCGGGCCAGCCTCCCAGGCTCCCAAGGAGGCTCCCAAGAGGGTCCCCGAGTCGCTAAACGATCGGAGCAAGATGCCCAAGGTGGCTTCCCTCCTCCTCCTGCTCGCTCCTCCTGCTCGCTCCTCCTGCTCGCTCCTCCTGCTCGCTCCTCCTGCTTCTCCTCCTCCTCCTCCTCCTCCTCCTCCTCCTCCTCCTCCTCCTCCTGCTCGCTCCTCCTGCTCGCTCCTCCTGCTCGCTCCTCCTGCTCGCTTCTGCTCCTCCTCCTCCTCCTCCTCCTCCTCCTTCTCCTCCTCCTCCTCCTGCTCGCTCCTCCTGCTCGCTCCTCTTCCAGGAGGAGGAGGAGGAGACTTCCCAAGGGGGACCTGAAGGGGCAAAATCATTCCCCCCAAAAGTGCTTGCATTTGAAGGATACTACTATGATCTAAGGAACTGAAGGGGTTTCGGACTGGCGGCTCCGTGCTCACCGTCGACGCCCCGTCGCCGCCTCGTCGCCACCTGTCTGAGGTAGAGCTGGAATGGGGGTCCCTCCAGATGGGATCTGGGAAAACCCTGGAACAGCTGATCCAGGAGAACTGTTGTGCCACCAGACCGTTTGACAGCATCACGCGGTAGGACGTGATCGGGGCGAACTGCAATTTGGGACCATCCTGATGCAGAGGGACGGCCAGAACCAGCAGCATCCTTGACCACCCTCCACCCTGACCGCTCGTGAGGGGCACCGTCAGGGGGGGACCAGCTGAGGGGGGAAAACATTGACCTGGAATCGGCGATACATCGCCGATTGATCGGCGAGAGGCCCCCGATAGCGACACTGCACGGCCCTGGGCGGGGCGGGCTACCGGGCCCCTTATCGACGACAAGTGAGCGATTTGAGGTCGATGCTTTCCGCCCTGAGCCTAACACCCCCACCCAACGCTGCCCCTGCAATCTGGGGGAGGCCGAACCAGCAGCATCCCTGACCGCCTCTTGCCCTGGCCACTCGGGGTTTTGACGTTGCCCGCTCTACTGGAGGCCTTCTAGATGGGGCCCGAGCAAATGGGATCAGAGGATCGCGCCGCATTGCGCATGCATCGCCGATGCATCGGCGATGCATTGGCGACATCGGCGGTGGATCGGCGACGTCGGCGTGGGGCAAACGGGCCTCCACGGTCGACGATGCATGGGCGGCGCGGCATGATCCTACGATCCCATTTGCTCGGAACACCAATGTGGAAGGCCATTGCCCCGGCACGCAGCGTGCAACCCGTAATGCTTTGGCACGGATTTCAACACACGTGAACTGAAGACGCAGGTCTGGCGCGATACGTTCGCCGAAACGTGGGCCAACGCGTACCGAACCAACACGCAGCGTGTCCACGCGAACGTTCCGAACACGGTACGGCGGGTTCATGTCGTGACGGCCCCAGAGCTGGTCTCTGACACCGCGTGGATCCTACAACCTTGAATGATCGGCTGCTTTCCGATCGCCAGGCCGTTCCATATTGGCTGATAATGGGCCGCTGGCGGCGTTCGACCTTGAACGCGCGCTGCGGGGTCGCCGCTGGGAGCATTTTTCCGTCGCGGCACGGCAGAGGCAATCCGCTCGGGCGCTCGAATTGCCAGGAACACTCGGCAAACGAATTGTCCTGTCCGGTGACGGGGCAAACAGCAGGGAAGAGCGGCCGCGGAGGCTTGGACCTGGACGTTTGGAACACGGCGCACGCTGCGTTTTAAAACGGGCGTATACAAGGCAGCTAAACTGCCCCGACCACTCGGGGCTCTGACAAAAACATGATCGACCCACGAACCCGGAAAGGAATATAGAAATGTAAGGCATGGCAACGTTTCAAATACACCTGATTGGGCGACGGGCAAATGCAATGCTGAGTGTATCGACATTGATGTACCGTGCCGAGGGCTGTGCTGTGCAGCGCCGTGCTGACTTGCGATGTGCCATACCGCGATTGTGCTCTATAGCGTTGTGGATCGAGTCCTCCTTTGCATCCGAGTCCTGACCGAGCTGATATGGATCTTAAGCTCGAGCTGCGCCAGCACATAGTAGCTGCCCCACAACTAATTGACAAAGTGACATGCCAGGAGGACGCGCCGCGGAACGCTCCAAGGGACGCGCCAGGCGACGTGCCAGGGGACCTGCCTTGGGGACGCACCGCGGGACGTGCCGAGAGGACGCGCTACGGAACGTGCCAATGGACGTGCCACGGGACATGGCAGGGGACGCGCGGTGCGGCGCGCCAGGGGGACTCGCTACGGGACGCGCCACGGAACGTGCCAAGGAACGTGCCAAGTTGCAATGCTGAGTGTATCGATCTTGATGTACCGTGCCGAGGGCTGTGCTGTGCTGCGCCGTGCTGACTTGCGATGTGCCATGCCGCGATTGTGCTATATAGCGTTGTGGATCGAGTCCTCCTTTGCATCCAGAGTCCTGACCGAACTGATCTGGATCTTAAGCCCGAGCTGCCTCAGCACATAGTAGCTGCCCCAGAGCTAATTGACCGGGGGACATGCCAGGAGGACGCGCCGCGGAACGTCCCAAGGGACGCGCCAGGCGACGTGCCAGGGGACGTGCCACGGGGACGCACCGCGGGACGTGCCGAGAAATGGGTTCATTTAATCACCTTGGAGGCATAAAAGCAAGAAAAAGCAAACGAATCGGCACCAGATGTGTAATAGCTTGACACGTTCCGTCCTGGGGCCCTGGGGAAGCCTCCTGGGGCCTCCTGGGGCGGCCTCTGAGGCATTACGAACCCACGTGTTGTCACGCTTGTCCCGCTCTGAGGCCTTAGGAAGCCACGTGTTTTCACGCTTGTCCCGCTCTGATGCGTTAGGAACCTACGTGTTTTCACGCTCTTCCCGCCCTGGGGCGTTACGAACCCACGCGTTTTCACGCTTAACTCGCGCTGAGGCGTTAGGAACCCATGTGTTTTCACGCTCGTGCCGATCTCGGGCGTTACGAATCCAAGTGTTTTCACGTTTGTCTCGCGCTGGGGCGTTAGGAACCCATGTGTTTTCACGCTCGTCCCGCTCTCGGGCGTTAGGAACCATGTGTTTTCACGCTTGTCCCGCACTGGGCCGTTCGGAACCCACGTGTTTTCACGCTTGACCCGCCCTGGGGCGTTAGGAACCCACGTATTCTCACGTGTCTGAGCCACCCAAA